CCTCTTTTTCAAAAATAAAATAAAATGTATTTTGCAATAGTATTATGATGGAGAATGTGTGATTAAAAATTATGATAAAGTTTTTTGTTTGCGTGTAATATTATTTTATTATAAAATGTGTTATTGAAATGAGGTAAAATCACTGTTCAAGAATATATTTTGATGAAAAAAATAGGCTCATACAAGAGCTTAATCTACACCATACAAGGCTTAATAAAGATATATCCCGCAATATATTTTGAATTAGAAAATATGTTTTCTTAAGACGTATTTAGATTGTGTTTTAATGTAAAAGAAAATTCCTTAATTTTAACTTTATGCTTTACGACAATACTCTCTTATGGTGTTTAAAAAAGCAAATTGATATACCATCAATGAAAAAAAAAGAGTTCAATTTTATATGTTGTGCGGTTCAATTATGTCGAGTAACGTACTATATACATTTTACACTCCTTTCCTCCTCGTCCTCATCTTTCCTCCCTTCAAAAGTCAAAATCGGCGTGCACTTAACATTATAATTGATTATCTACTTATTAAAAACGTCGCGAAAGCACTCCACATTTGCAAGTACTCCATTAAATTTCAGTTACCAATCTTTTTCTAAAAAAATTTCCCTCGCTTGAAGAATGAGTTTGATGCTCGATGAGAAAGATGATTTGATAGATATTACAATCTTAACAGGGAATAATCATAAAATTTACCCGATCCCGTGTTACAAGAGTAGTTAAATATTGTGAAAAATGTTGCGAAGTGACTTCTATTTAACATATTGTTATGTTAAATATGCTCGTCGAGCTATGTCACATTATTATTAAAAAAAACGCTATCAAGTTTCAAAAAGAAATAAATGAGACTTATCAAAATCTGAATATTACCTTTCGCACAATATCAAAGACACACACTCACCTTTCAAAAATATTATTAGCCCCCGTATGGTGCACATTTTGAAAGTAAGAATGCATTTTTACTGTTGATGTAATGAGAAATATATGGTTGAAAAAGAAGGAAAAGTTATTGATGTGATGAAAAATATTATTTTATTGAAGAATGTATAGTTAAAAATGAGTAGAAGAATAAGAATGAAAAAAATAATGTGGACCAAACAAGACCTAATTTGTATTACATGATCTTTTTCTTTTTTTCTCATAAAAGAGACCATATTTGGCACGTGTGTGCTTAATCTTTATTTTTATCTCTGAACAATAATCCACACCGACAATTCCTGACCGCTGATTAAACCACTTGATGTATGTATGCATCAGTATTTGCCATCGGGGGATGTCATTCTCTGCAAACGTAATCCGACAAATTCGGTACAACCTACTTTTCTGCGAATTAAAAAATGGGTAGGCTGTTGTGTTTGACAATTTTAGGATTATTTTTATTTAGCTAATGATTCTTTAATGTCCGATTAATATTATTATTGTACCGACACCTTGAATTTGGTAGTTGCAGTCTTAAATATGTTTGTTAATAACATTAATTTAAAATTTTAAGTAGGTTCACAAAGGATATAGCTCGATTTCATTTTTTTTTTTTCAAAATACATTTTTCTCTATTTTCTTTTCAATTATATATTTTTCAATAAAATAATATTACGCGCATATTCAATTTTTTTTTTTTAACATATTCTCCGTCAATTTACTATGTCAAAAGGGCACATAATAAATATTTAAAAGTTGTAATACAATAAGTTATTTAAAGTTATTTCAAAACTGAGGACCAAAATGAAACTTCTTGTAGTTAAGCCCCAATTTGATTTAGCTACAAATCAAACTTTTGGAAGATTTTAATAAAAATTAATGAAATGTGTGGTTGAAAATTTAATAAAAGTAACTAATACAATCAAAAGTGTGATTATATTTAATTAAAAAAAATAGTTTTTTAACTAAACCAAACATAGACTACGTGTACTTCAACCCTTCCATTGATTCCATGTGTAAACGCTATGCTGAAGGTCCACCAAATTTCTTATCAATCCATGAGCATCTAATTAATTGACTAATGGCTTTCAAGCCCTCAACAGCTATATTGGAAGGACTAAAATTCACTAGTACGTAGGCACCGACACACATATTGCTCTAATTATCGTGAGATAAAATTAAATTGGTAAATGTAAAAGTAAATACGTTCAGAATTTATCTAAGATCTTTTGTGGTAGCTAGATGGGCCCACATGAACCGGATTGAGGAAAACCCAGGCCATCACGTTCCAAGGATGTCATGGATGAACCAGGCTGAGTCAACGTGATGGGCATTATCGTTCGATTTTTAAGATATATTCGATACATAGTACTAGATTTAACGGTAACATTCTTTGGATGTTTAGGAACCAGCCAAGCCTGTGCGAAAGTACACCTTTGTCTGGCTTTACAAGTTTACTTTTCCTAGCATCCTCAGTGTTGAGTACTGAAACTGAGGTGTTTTTGTTACTTGTTACAACCTACAGGGCCAAGAAACCTAGTCCTTGATTACCTACCCACTTTCATGCACCCCATTAAACCTAGTTTTCGATTTCCCAAAAACTACCTAAGCGACCAGTTTCATTGTCATCTCGACCTTGAGCAGCCCTGCTCTCTTAACGCGTATGTGCCAAAGGGTTTTTAGACAAAATAGTCTGCACAAAGCAGACGATTTAACTGCATCTTAGTATATATTGAATCATTGATCACATAATAATTACTGCTTTCTGTAATGTCTCATCTCTGTGGATTAATATGCACAGAGATTAATGATGATCTTATATGCATTATAAATTAGTGATGTCCCTACCTCTAAACTTGTTGGAAATGGCTACTATCCAGGCTTTATCTTTATCGCTATATGCATAATCAACAGTAGAAGCCAGCAGTACAAAACCCTCACCCTTCTCTGGTTGATTGGAGCTCAGTTTTGGAGTGTGAAAAATAGGTTGTACAAGTAGAGTACGAGTCCCCTCAGGAAGCATCCCCAGCAGTTCGGAATCTGAAATTATTCACATAATTTCATGAAAGTAACACATCAGATATGCTCGAAACATCTTGAAATCATAATCTGTTGATTAATTTACTAGAAACATTTTATTGTAGACGAAAATAAGTGAAATCTGGATGGATATTTAATGTCTAAACCGTATCCAATGATTTGACTTCATGGCTCTATATATTTCACAGAATAAAGGCGATTTGGGCAATTACAGCCTGCCAGTACACTATTGCTTTTCAATGACATATTGCATGTCAATCTAATTATATAGGGGATTAGAGTTCAACAACTTCTGAGGAAACATGGAAAAGGAAAAACGTATAAGTTTTTTATTCCTATTGCTTCAATCCATTGTTTTGCTCTGTTATCTGATTATTGAAACCTGCGCAGGCATTTATTGGCATTAGTGTCCTTTCAGAAAAAGAAAGAAGAGAAAGAAGTGGGAGTTGGCTCCTGCATTTGCTTGCTTGCTTACCAAGCCATCCTAGCAAGATCCTCCAATTCTATTATTATTATTCTTGACATTATTATAAAAACTACTCACTAACCAAATGAAAAGCGATTGATTATCTACCAAAGAAGATAGAGAGTCCCACATACGAGAAAATGTCTCAAATAGAGTTGAACCAAGTAATATTGCAAAGGCATAATGATAGTAGGGTCGGGATATCCCTGCCCTCTGAACTGGACATGAAGGTCTTCCCTCATCCAGCTCTTTCCAGGGGAATCCCCACTCAGTGGTTTCCCTAATATCCTCCCTTTACCACATCATGGGGGTTTACAGGGGATCCCAGAGGCTCACTTGGCCAAAAAAATAGGGTAAGGCAAGTTAGAGACACACAAATCAATAAATACAGATAGTGTGCATGCGCACAAGATTTTCGCTCATTTTCTTGGACAGTCAACTTGCGATATAACATATGAAGTATAGCCTAGAGCGTGAAATGAAAAAAAAAAAAAGAGAATTGCCTATACAGATATTATTATTATTATTATTATTATTATTATTATTATTATTATTATTTGAATTTCAATTATATTAGTCATCCTAACTACGATATATATTGACAAGTACAAAAGTTTATTATGCCAAAAATCAATTGTGAATATAGTAACTTGATTTATATACTTAAATAATTTTGTCAGCACAAATGTCTGTTGCAACAATTGGAAAAACTAATCATACCTGCAACCTGTGGAAAGTAAATGGTATCCTTCAAGTTGGAGAATCCAAATCGCTGTATCTGTTTCTTAAACCAATCAAGCGCATTTTCTTTTGAGACGTCTCTGGGCGTGTTCCAGTAGCCACGCACACACAACGCATCTTGAACTACGATGAACTAGAACAATATAGAAATTCAGTGCACTACTGAAATCAGAAGAAATTTTTAATCGTCTAATATACTAGATGAAAATATGATTTTTGAAGATCTTATGTAGACAGTGGTTTACTGTTTATAAATTCATGCTTCTGCATTAAAATCCAGCAAAAGATAATTAAGGGCTTAGGCTGCAAGGTACCATGGATATCGAGTTTGTGTTACGCAATAGAATGTACGTTCCCCAAGCCAAATCTTCCTTCAGAGTATCTGAAATGTTTTGGGACATGACAAAGATTTGCTCCGCTCCTTTAGGTATACTCTTCTGATCAATCGAAGAAGCACCCTGAAAGCAGTCTCCTAGTAAAGACTAAGATAATTTGAAAGATATTGCACCTAAAGATCTGTCTAGTCACTGAAAGCAATATTGACTAGGAAATAAAGACAGTTTGTAACATCCCAAACAAATACGAACATTTCATCAGAAAATTTCTTTAGCATGTAGATTAAATTGTTTTAGAAATTTTCTGAGGTACATCAGTAGAAATACAAGCAACCATTTACAAGTATTTGTGCCAGTGGAATGTTGAGTTTAGGAACGCTTCTCTATAGCATCAAATGGATTCAGCAAATATGATATCTCATCTTGAAACCTTTTTGGTATTTTTCTCTACTTTGTAAAGAGTTACACAGATTTCTCTTATAGAGGAAAATACATAAAAATAAGGAATGTTAATGTATATACATATATA